ACCCTCTATCAACCTGGGTCATACTGAGTTTAAAGCTGCTACCACAGTGAGATTTGATTGGTTAAGAGAGAGAGCGATATCAAAACAGCCACGAAAAGTCCCGTATATATGTGTCCAAGGGTTGTATTGAAGCAATCAAGTGATGAATAACTGTTTTCCAGTATGTTATTTTGCAATGTTTTTGGGGTTTTTTTTGCATTATTGATTTACTAATAAAGCATAATGGAATACAATTTTGCCTCTTTCTTGTAAGATTCTATAATAGAATGAAACAATATGGCCAGTTATAAATAAAGACAATAAATTGAATGAATTACGAAACACTTATTTTATTTCTATTAGATCTGAAAATGTTGTGTAATACTACAACCTAAAAAGACAAATAGATTGAGTTGGCCTGTACAGGAGATAAAGGAAAGAAAATTAACAACAGCTGTGAAATGGAATAGTCCAAATCATAAAAGTAAACTGGACCTGGGCTTGTTGCAGGGATCTGAAGTTACTAAACATTTTGTGAGTGTATGCACTCACACTTAGGACCATATAGTAATAAATATGTGCGTGATGAAAGTTGGGGAGCATGCTAACGTCCTTACTCCACTCCGTATGCACGTATGGGTCTAACCCTTTCACTCCTTTGATTTTTGATTTATTTTTTACCTTTTTGTGAAGTCTGTCTTTGTACGGACCTGCCGTGTTCTCGGTCATTTTGTACATAACTGTTTTTGGGGCAAATAAAATGCAAGTAGGGATTAAAACCACAGAATTAATGATTACCGGTGCTGGAAATGCTAGCGCTTGATGCAGTGTTTTGATTTTGCTGCCACTTGTACTCACAATGCAATGCGCGAAAGTCACGTGGTCTGTCAATCTCTCTTGTGTAACTCTTTGTTTATGTGTCTAAGCAAAGGTTTTCTGGATCGTCTGCAGGTTGTGCAAAACGCTGCAGCTAGGCTGTTGACAAAACCTCCAAGTATTCACATGTGACACCATTGCTATTTCAGCTACACTGGCTTCCTGTTGAATTTAGAGTACATTTTAAGATCCTGGTCTTGACATTTAGAGCCTTGCATGGACTGGCACCACCCTACATCTCCGATCTGCTACAGCCCTATGACCCTAGCAGGTCCCTGAGGTCATCTGATCAGGGCTTACTTGCTATAAAACAGACTAAGATGAGAACAAAGGGTGACAGAGCTTTTGCCACTGTCCCGAGACTGTGGAACTCTCTCCTTCATACATTAAGAACTGTGGACTTGGTAGTTGTTTTTAAAAAACAACTCAAAACTCACCTTTTTAAAACTGTTTTTGGTTAAATGTCTGCCTGTTTTATATTGTCTGGTTTACCCTTTGATTATTTGTTATCTTAAGTGCAGCACTTTGTGATTCTGTCTAGAAAGGTGCTATACAAATAAAATATTTTTTATTTATTTAATATTTAAACGTCAGATATTTTAAATTTAGCTGTTTTTTGTTTGGTTCATCTCATTTTGAGTTAGGCACCATTTTGCAGCTTCTTATATTCTCTATATTATTTTACAAGTAGCTTGAAACAAAAGAGGAAGCCCATTCATGGTATGCATAAACTATTTTATTTACAAGAGGTGAAAACAGGTCAGTATATCAGTGGTGACATATACTTTACGGTGGGAGGTGCTTGTGTTGTGTTGGTTATCCCCCTTGGTTACAAAAGACAAGGCACTAAGTGTGTGTGTGTGTATGTGTGTGC